CTCAAGGCTAGTGCTCTACCACTTGAGCCACAGCGCCACTTCCGGCTTTTTTCTTTTTGCTTATGTGGTGCTGAGGAATCGAACCCAGGGTTTCAGGCATATAAGGCAAGCGCTCTACCACTGAGCCACTTTCCCAGCCCCTTAATTATTCTTTTTTTTTTGCCAGTCATGGGGCTTGAACTCTGGGCCTGGGTGCTGTCCTTCAGCTCTTCAGCAAAAGGCTAGTGCTCTACCACTTGAGCCACAGCTCCACTTGTGGCTTTTTCTGCTTATGTAGTGCTGAGATATCGAACCCAGGGCCTCATGCATGCAAGGCAAGCACTCTACCACTGAGCCACCTTTCCAGCCCCAGTTATCCAATTTCTACAACTACTTTTTTTTGGGTCGGTCATGGGGCCTGATCTGGGCCTGGGTGCTGTTCCTCAGCTCTTCAGCTCAAGGCTAGCTCTCTACCATTTGAGCCACAGAGCTACTCCCGGCTTTTACTGCTTACGTGGTGCTGAGGAATCCAACCCAGGGCCTCATGCATGCAAGGCAAGCACTCTACCACGGAGCCACCTTCCCAGCCCTCAACAACTTTTTTATGACAGATTTCCACAGATTAAAAAGAAAGAAAGAAAGAAAGGAAGGAAGGAAGAAAGAAAGAAAAGCTATATAAGCTGAGTGCTAGTGTCTTACGCCTATAAGCCTAGCTAATCAGGAAGCTGAGATCTGACAATCATGGTTCAAAGCCAGCCTGGGCAGACAAATTGGATGAACTCCATCTTAAATTAACCAGCAAAATGCCAGACTGGAAACATGGCTTAAGTGATAAGAGCACTTGCCTTGCATGCATGAGGCCCTGGGTTTTATTCCTCAGCACCACATAAGCAAAAAGAAAAAAGCTGGAAGTGGTGCTGTGGCTCAAGTGGTAGAGCAGTAGCCTTGAGCTGAAGAGCTGAGGGACAGTGCCTAGGCCCAGAGTTCAGGCCCCATGACTGGACCGCCCCCCCCCCCAAAAGTCAAATAAGATTATACATGCCTCAATTTAAACCCTACTACTGGGAGGAAAAGCCATTCATTCTTACCTTGTTCATTGCCATTTGCACAAATGTTAAGATTGACATAGGCACAAGCAGGACCAGGCAGTGATGATCCTTGAGTGAGTGTAATTTCCAGGTCAGATCCCTTTAACTGAGCACATGAGAGGAAATGATTAAATGCACTGTGCTCCACCATCAAATAACACCTTAGTATGAACAAAAGCTATTAAAAGTCAAAAGCTATAGTTTACACCCCGATTTCCTGCTCCATTTATCCTGTATTTTTAAAAATGTAAATTTTTTTCTAATTACATAAGCAATGTAATTTCATTAAAAAAGAAAAAAAAAAGTCAGCTAGGCCTGATGGTTGCTCACATCTGTAGTCCTAGCCACTTAGGAATTATAGATTCGTTGGATTGTGGTTTGAAGCCAGCCTAAGCAAAAAGATAGCAAGACCTTTATCTCTAGCTAATAAACTTGGTGAAGTAGCAGACCTGTTGTCCTAGCTAATAGAGAGGTATAAATTTGAGGACTGTGGTCCAAGTAGGCTTGGATAGAGAGTCTTGAAAAAAGACTTGAATAATGAAAAGACTTGAAAAATAATGAAAAGAAAAAAGGGCTGGGGTATGGCTCAAGTGGAAGAAGTCCTTGCTTACATTTGATGCTCTGGGTTATTGCCAAAAGAGAAACAAACAAGCAGGACACTGGTGGCTCATGCCTGTAATCTAAGTTATTCAGGAGGCTGAGACCGGAGGATCCTGGTTCAAGGCCAGGAGAAGCAAAGCTTATGTGGTGCTGAGGAATCAAACCCAGGGCCTCATGCATGCAAGGCAAGCACTCTACCACTGAGCCACCTTCCCAGACCAAGTCTGAGATTCTTAACTCCAATTAACCACCAAAAAACCAAGACACAATGCCTAGGCCTTGAGTTCAATCTCTAATACTGCACAAAATAAAGCAATTAAGTAAACAATATGCAAAATGGAAAATGAAATTACAATGCATGTCATCCCATTGAATACAACCACTTTTAGGTTCTCCACTGTCCTACTATTCAACTCATATGCTAGAGATGACCTACTTAGGAATTATGGGCCACTATCTTCTATGTCTTGGTATCTGATTTTCATAGTTACATCTATAATACCTAGATGTAAAAACAGGAAGAGCTATCATAATGTTATGTATAAGCTACTATCATAAAGCTAAATATGGGCTGGGAATGTGGCTTAGTGGTAGAGTGCTTGCCTAGCATGCATGAAGCCCTGGGTTTGATTCCTTAGTACCATATAAACAGAAAAAGCTGAAGTGGCTGTCGCTTCAAGTGGTAGAGTGCTAGCCTTGAGAAAAAGACTCTCGGAGACAGTGCCCAGGCCCTGAGTTCAAGCCCCAGGACTGGCAAAAAAGAAAAAAGCTGACTACTTCAAGCTGTTTGCTTTTAATAAACATTACCCAAATCCAAATTTTCTAGTTTTAGACAAAACAGGCCAATATAGCCATTTTATTTTCTGGCAAATCACACATGCCCTAATGGCCACCTTCCCTAAGAGAACGGTTATAAGAATAGTTTTGCTTCCTTTCAATGCTTGACAACCCAGGCAATACTTCAGGACTGAGTAATATATCAATCCATATGGTAGGCCAGAATAGCCAGATTTAACCATGTAAAGTGAGACCATATCTGAAATTCAGTAGTCCAGCACACTCAGAACTCACCTGTGTTTGTTCTTGAATAAGGATTTTATCTGATGTAGGGACTGGATATGGCTTCAAAGGAGCCTTTATGGTGGCAAATATGAACTCTGTGTGGCTTTCAATAACATTATTCAGGTATCCTTCAGACTTTGCCTTATAATAAACTGTTACTTCATCAGTTGGAACCAGATTACACTGAAAAAGCATTTAGAAAAATTAAAAACAATTTAAATTCATAACAAGGTATAACTGGAGCACAGTGGCGCATGCCTGCAATCCTAGTTACACAGGAGGCTAAAAGATTGGGAGGATAAGCCTGGTGCCTGTGGCGCACTCAACAATCCTAGCTATTCAGGAGGCTGAGATTTGAGGATTGCACTTCAAAGCCAGCCTGGGCAGGAAAGTCCGTGAGATTCTTGTCTCCAATTAACCATCAGAAAACCGGAAGTGGCGCTGTGGCTCAAGTGGTAGAGCACTTGCCTTGAGCTGAAGGGACGGCGTCCAGACTGAGTTCAAGCCCCACGACCGAGACACACACACACAGAGACACAGACACGAGACACACACACACACACACAAGCACCATGACCAATAAAGAAAAAAAAAATTGGGAGGATTAAGGTTGAAGGCCAACTGGGGTAAAATGCCTTCCTTTTGAGATTCAACCAATAAGGCTGGCATGGTGGTGGTGGTATGCATTTATTACTCTAGCTATAGCAGGAAGTGGAAGTGTAATTAGGAGGAACATGGTCCAAGCCAGCTTTGGTAAAATGTTTGGTTAAAAATAACCAAAGCAAGAAGAGCTGAAGGCACGACTCAAAAAGTAGAATACCCATGCCTCACAAGTATGAGGCCAAGTTCAAACATGGGTACTGCCAAAACAACTACAACTCCCTTAAAAACAAAACCTTCAAACTTAAGATACAGATAATAGGACAGATCCTATGCTGAATAACCATGGGAGAGCATATGTATTTGTACCTCTTCAGGTGATCTATAAGACTAACTACACTATAGTATATGGTTTGCTTTGTGCTCTACTGACCAGTCTTGAGGGTTGGAGGTAGGGCAGCTATCTTTTTTTTAATCATGATCATGAATGCTAAAACAAAGAATGATTGAAAACCTAGTCACAAGGTGTTCAGCTGGGACATGATGTACAAGTATTGTTATCTGTTGGAGTAGCCTCCTTAGACCCTGACCCATAGGTCTCAGACACCAGTTTGAGGAAGATGTGTGTGACTCCTCCTTTGCATCAATGTCTCCTGGAGTAAGAGCTTCCTGACTCTTACCTAGTGGGGGTTTGGTGCCCCCTTTGGCCTCCAGGCAGTGTTCAGATCTGAATATCTTTCTCCTCTGTGCTCAGAGCCCTTTGGTTTCCTAAGAAGCATCCACTGTAATCTGATTACCTTCTATAGCAGTCAGAGCTACCTATACAGAAGCAATTTAGCAGAAGTCCAAGTGAACTGAAAAGGCTGTAAGGAGGCACAGTGTGACAAAAAGTTTTTGGTCAGAGAAACAAAAGAAATCATATTCAGTCTGTAAGTAAGGAAGTAAGAGAGAGGAAGTAGCCTATCTTTGCTGCAGATTACTATCTGAATACATTTACAGGTCAGTGAATCATCATCATCAATTAACCACATGGCCCTCCAAACACATTGGCCAAACCAAACAAACAAACACAAATCCAAAAACATCAGCTTATTCTTCAATTACAAGCTGACCTTCTTGCGAAGTTTCTGGATGCGATTGATGACTTCCCGAGCCATGCCTTCATCTACCATTGACTGGTCAGGGGTGACATCTAATAGAACCAAAGCCTGCAGGAGGAACAATGCACACAGTGATGATCAGATATGGAAGGATGTTTCTTTCAAACAAAATTAACAGCATTTAGAAAAATTCTATTTAAAATTAAATTCAGCCAGACTCCAGTGGCCCATGCCTGTAATCCTAGTTACTCAAGAGGCTGAGATCACAGTTTAAAAACAACCCTGGACAGGAAAGTCTGTGAGACTCTCTTTTCATATTAATCACCAAAAATCCACAAGTGCAACTGTAGCTCAATTGGTAGAGCACTAACCTTGAGCTAAAAAAACCTCAGGCACAGTGCCCTGGTCCGGAGTTCAAGCTCCAGTACTGGTACAAACACAAAAACTAATTGAAAAAAATTAAATTCAGTGAAAGCTCTAAACGTGACATCATTCACTTGATTGAGCAAATGAAATAAAATTAATCTTGTTTCTATCTTATTTGGGTACTTTGTAACTAGCTTAACTCCATCTCTGAAAAAAGGTACAGCTGTTTCTTCTTTGTAAGGTGCCGAGAGACAAAGCTTGGCATACAACTGTCTTTGGTCTATGGGAAAAAACTACTCTTTTTTGTTGTTGGTCAAGGGGCTTGAACTCAAGACTTGAGCTAAGCTTTTTTTTTTTTTTAATTTTTTCTGGGTCCGGTCGTGGGGCCTGAACTCGGCCTGGGCGCTGTCCCTCAGCTCTTCAGCTCAAGGCTAGCACTCTACCACTTGAGCCACAGCGCCACTTCTGGCTTTTTT